TGAACATTGGTGCTGACAGCTGAGGGGCAACATCTTATTTCATTTTGACTTCGAATGCCCTTCTTGTTCCAGAGGCACTGCTCCTTTCTCCAGAAAGCTAGGTTTTTATTTGCCTTTTGCTGCATTACTTTATCCCTTGTCATGATCTTTTGAGACATTCACTATCAAGGTAGCAGCATTTGTCTGTAGATGTCAGACCTGCGTTGTCAATGCACATGTCTTGATTTTACCCAAGAGGCTGTAATAGAACATGCTTTTATATATATTTTATTATATGTTTATATGTTTATTTATTTATAATATATATAATATATATTCTATGTAATTTTATATAACATATTATCTATATCTCAAATATATTTATGAATAAATATATATAAGAATAAATATATATAACATTTATATTTTATTTATAATGAGGTTCTAGCCGAAACACTGGACTCCATACAGTCTGTTATTTGTTGGGCTTAGTTTGTGTGCACTATTAAAAACACACAATATAAAAATAAGCAAAGACCGATCACAGGCCAGTAGCTCCGTATGGTAATGGAAGTGAATTTCATTACCTTCATCTCCGAACATATCGTGAAACCCAACTTACTCAAGGTTTTAAAGAAGAATGCTATGAAGATGCAGCCTTGCTTAAGACTACTACAGTCTTGAATAGAGACTACTACAGTTTTGAACTGAGAAAGATTAACCTTGTTATACTGAAAAACATTCTTAAAATCATTGTTCATTTAAATATAGAAATGAAACACAGCAAAACACAAATATAATTATTAGGAAAAGGCTCTGTCTAATCTGTGCAGCGAATGCACCATTTGACATGTGTCAGGGTCTTGATTCTTTGAATGCAGAGACCAAAGGGTCCCACTGTCCAAAAAGTCTGAGTTTCCTTCCCAGGGAAGCTGAGACACGGAAGGGGATGGCATGTTCCTCAATCTCTTTGTGAGGTGAACTCAAAATCTGGGACAAAGAAAACACTTTCGTGCTCCAGAATTAAGACGTTGGCAGCAGAAGGGCGTGGTTGTGCCTTTCTATGAACTCTGTGGCGATTGGGGAGCTCTAAAGAATCGGAGCTAAAACACTTACACAAGCAGCTCTCGATTAGTTCCTGAAGTATTTGCAGAAAGCATTCCAAGATTACCTATTGTTTGAGAGAAGTGGAACAAATGGCAAAGTTATCAGATTTTACTCCCTGACATTAGAACACCCATGGGCAATTACGTGGTAATTTTCCAATTGTGAGTATGCTGTTATTTTTTTTACTAGTCGTATGCCAACTTTCAAAAAATAATAGAAACCACCAGATCAGTATCAGTGTTAGCAGCTGCAAAACTCTTAATAAAATAATACATGCTAATCACTCCAAAATTCACATTTCTCCTTTGAAGCTGGAAGTAAATTGTGCTTGTGTTCCTTAGGAAGCTCTCCACCCCTGCAACAATGAGATGTTATAAATGGTCACTCAAAACATGTACAAACTGTGCAAGAGAGCACCCTGGCAGTACTAGGAGTGGAATAACTGTATTAAAGAGGTTCTTTGCCTCTAATTAGAGTGTGTTGGAGTGAGTTAACTGATCCTGCTCTCAGCTGTGTGCAAAGAAAATCCTAACGTACTGTTTGTGTTTCTCGAACAAAGCAGCTCCGAGCCCTTTTAAGTAGCTCCCTGGTGCTGCATTGCACTGGGCACTGAGACACTTCTAGAATTTGTGAAGAATTTTTGGAGTTTGCGTGTAGAAAAAAGAATTCCAGAGCGAAAAAAAACCTGTCATACAGAATAAATTACGTTAAAAGAGCTTCACCCAAGTCAAACATTTAACATTAGAAACTAACAGAATTAAAATTGCCTGAGTCACTTTGTTTCTGACTCCCTGTTCATGCGTCAAAGATCTAGTCTTTTTAATACAGTAGAACATATTATTTCCACTCTCTTCTCATCAGCCCGTGGAATGGATGGTGCTCAGTGAATGTACAATTTTCCAGTGTTCAATTTGCAGTTCCGTACCTGATTTCCTGCCTGCTATTCAAACTCCGCTGTAAAGATGGCAATATTAATGTTGTCACAGTCTTCTGAGTAACACTCCAATGTCTGACTGCTGTGCAAGCAATTATTAATTTTTTTCTACTGTGTTTCCCAAAATATTAACATATTTCCCAAAATATTAATATTATAACAATATTTAATATAAAATATTAAACATATTTTTAATATAAACATATTTCCCAAAATATTAATATTAATATTAAGGCATTTAACTTGAATATGCTCTTAATGCATCATTTCGAGCTTTCAGTTCTACAAACTTTTTGTGAGAATTGTCGAACAGTATTTGTTAAATCAGCACCTTACTGACTTCAATCACAGTTATGATTGAACACTTCTGTGCTGAACACTTCTGCAAATTAGACTCCAGGGCCTCTATGGGGCAACGGAAAAACGAGAAAGCACAGTGGTGGCTTGTGAAGAGTCTGGCTGAAGGACTTGTCATTACGCAGGAACCCTGCGGCAGAGGTGCGAAAAGCATCGGATTCTGCAGACTGGCTTTCCAGCACTTAAGCAACA